GACCTAACTAAACCCATAGACCCTAGTATAAATGAAAAATGAAGGGCCACATGCGGTGGCTCACATCTGTAATCCTAGCACTCTGGAGGCTGAAGTGAGAGGATTGTTTGAGCTAAGGAGTTCAAGAGTAAGACCTTGTCTCCACTAAAAATAGAAAGAAATTGCCAAACAACTAAAAATATATAGAAAAAAAAATTAGGCCGGGCAAGGTGGCTCATGCCTGTAATCCTAGCACTCTGGGAGGCCAAGGTGGGTGGACTGCTTGAGGTCAGCAGTTCAAAACCAGCCTGAGCGAGACCCCCGACTCTACTCAAAATAGAAAGAAATTAATTGACCAACTAAAAATATATATACAAAAAAAAAAAAAAATTAGCCAGGCATGGTGGCGCATGCCTATAGTCCCAACTACTGGGGCGGCTGAGGCAGGAGGATCACTTGAGCCCAGGAGATTGAGGTTGCTATGAGGTAGGCTGATGCCATGGCACTCACTCTAGCCTGGGCAACAAAGTGAGACTCTTGTCTCAAAAAAAAAAAAAATTAGCTGGGCATGGTGGCACATGCCTATAGTCCCAGCTACTGGGGAGGCTGAGGCAGGAGGATCCTTTGAGCCCAGGAGTTTGAGGTTGCTGTGAGCTAGGCTGACGCCACAGCATTCTAGCCTGGGCAAGAGAGTGAGACACTGTCTCAAAAAAAACAAAAAGGAAAAATGAAGAAAAGAATCTATAGCTGGGAACGGAGCCAAAGATGACAGTCCACAAGGATACCAAGACAATTCAATGGGGAAAGAATTCTCTTTTCAACAAACAGTACTGAGACCACTGGGTATCCACATGTAAAAGAATAAAATACGAACCCCTTCCTCACACCATATGCTAAAATTTAAAGTCAAGATGGGTCATAAGCCTAAATAAAAACTATGAAACTAAATAGGCCGGGCACGGTGGCTCACGCCTGTAATCCTAGCACTCTGGGAGGCCGAGGCAGGCAGATTGTTCGAGGTCAGGAGTTCAAAACCAGCCTGAGGGCCGGGCGCGGTGGCTCACGCCTGTAATCCTAGCTCTTGGGAGGCTGAGGCGGGCGGATTGCTCAAGGTCAGGAGTTCAAAACCAGCCTGAGCAAGAGCGAGACCCCGTCTCTACTATAAATACAAAGAAACTAATTGGCCAACTGATATATATATTAAAAATTAGCCGGGCATGGTGGCGCATGCCTGTAGTCCCAGCTACTCGGGAGGCTGAGACAGAAGGATCGCTCGAGCCCAGGAGTTTGAGGTTGCTGTGAGCTAGGCTGACGCCATGGCACTCACACTAGCCTGGGCAACAAAGCGAGACTCTGTCTCAAAAAAAAACAAAAAAAAATAAATAAATAAATAAATAAAAAAAAATAAAAAAAAAACCAGCCTGAGCAAGAGTGAGACCCTGTCTCTACTATAAATAGAAAGAAATTAATTGGCCAACTAATATATATAGAAAAAAATTAGCCAGGCATGGTGGTGCATGCCTGTAGTCCCAGCTACTTGGGAGGCTGAGGCAGGAGGATTGCTTGAGCCCAGGAGTTTGAGGTTGCTGTGAGCTAGGCTGACACCACTGCACTCATTCTAGCCTGGGCAACAAAGCGAGACTCTGTCTCAAAAAAACTATGAAACTAAATAAACTAAAAAACTCTTAGAAGAAAGCACAGAGGTAAATCTCCGTAACTTTGGGCCTTTTTAGATATGATACTAAAAACATAAGCAACAAAATAATAAAATAGGTAAACAGGACTTCATCAAAATGTAAATCTTTTGTGCTTCTAAGGATACCATCACAAAGATGAAAAGACAACCTATAGAATGGGAGAAAATATTTGCAAATCATGTACCTAACAAAGGTCCAATATCCAGAATAAAAATCTCTTACTTCTCAACAATAAAAAGACAAATAACACAATTTAAAAATGGGCAAGGGATATCAACAGACACTTCCCCAAAAAGGATATACAAATGGCCAATGAGCACATGAAAAGACACTCAATGTCATTAGTCATTCTGAAAATGCAAATCAAAACCACATGAGATACCACTTCATGTCCACTAGAATAACTATTTAAAAAAAAAAAAAAAACAGAAGAGAACAAATGTTGACAAAGTTGTGGAAATCCTAGAATACATGTATATTGCTGGTGGGATTGTAAAATGATGCAACCACTTTGACAGTTCCTCAAAATGTTAAACATAGAATTACCATATGACCCAGCAAATTTCCACTAGTAGGTACACATTCAAGAAAAGAGAAAAAATATGTCCACACAAAGTTACACATAAATATTCACAACATTATTCATAACAGCCAAAAAGTAGAAATATCCCAAATGTCCAAACGTCCAAGTAATGAATGGTTAGACAAAACATGGTATGTCCATACAACAGCATATGCTTTGGCAACAGAAAAGAATGAAAGACATGCATGAAACTTGAAAATGCTAAGGGAAAGAAACCAACCACTAGAGACCACACATTTCATTTATCTGCAAGTGTCCGGAATAGACAAATCTACTGAGACAGAAAACAGGGAAATGAAGCAATGAAAATGTTCTAAAATTGCACAGTGGTGGCTGTACAACTCAGTGGATATACTAAAAACCATGGAATGGTACACTTGAAATGGGTGGATTTTATGGTATGCAAATTATATCTCAATAAAGCTATTTGTAAAAAATTGAATAAAAAACAAAAAAAAAAGGAAAGTCTGGCATCTGCTAGAGAAGAAACAATGACCACAAAAAGCCAAGTCACCACCAAGGTGCAGGGAGCAACAGAACCCGAGTTGGGGAGGGCAGTCCCAGAGCTGCGCCAGGCCACAGCCTCACTCAGCCATGCAGGAAGCGAGGCTGGGGAGTGGGGCGGGAAGCCCAAGCGGACGTCCCTGCTTTCTAGGAGCTTCCATGGCACAGAGTGAAGGAAAGAGTGGTGGAGTCATCACACGGCGTGGGACTGCTTCACGAAGAGGACGGCCACCTGGGGAAGGAGCGGAGTCCTGCCACAGTCTAACAAAGTTCCTGAACTAGAATGCGGACAGAGGGCGAGATTCCCTGAAGAACCCAAACTTGAGCTGAAAAAGGATGAAATAAGGGTTAATTTGGGGAAAAAAAAAAAAAAGTGTGTGGGGGGAGGCGGGGAGAGGTTTGAACAAACTGCAGACACAAGGTACCTGCGGCAGGAGGGAAAGTGTCACACGTAAGCAAGTAGACGAGAGCTCGCGTGGCCGTGAGGCAGAGACCAAGAGCAGAAGTGTGCGAGGGGCCTGAGACAGCAGCCAGAGCATGCCGGCCTCACAGCCACCGTCGGGACTGGGTTTAAATGCTAAGGCCCAGGGAAATGCACTCAAAGGTCCTAAGTAGGTGCCTGATGTGGACCAACTTGCACTGTGGGGAAAAGGACAGGAAAGGACCAAAGTAGATGCTGGCAGACGTGTTAAGGGGCTCCCACAGCAGGCCAGGGAAAAGAGGAGGGCGGCCTAGACTCAGGAAGGGGCAACAGGTGTCACGGGAAGTGGTTAACGGGCGTGCTGCTCTGGCCTCTGTGAGGCCTGTAGGGTCAGTGTCCCCTCTGTCTTCATTTCACATACCCCCTAACTAACCCCCAATAACTAAGGTAACCTGAACGCTCGTCTCTGTTCCAATACTTAGCTCACCACCGATACGGCAACTGGCACTCTGAGCTCCCAACCTCCATCACCAGAGACCTGGCCATTCTCAGCTGCCCTGCTTTTGCTGAGGGATAGCCCTGACATAAACCTGAACACGTCCATTTGCTGAAACCCACCTGCCAGCATATGCAAATTAAACTTACTCTAGCCCTTCCCAATCCCTGCTCCAAAACTGCAAGTTAGATCCCATCAGTCCCCTGCTTACAACCTTTCAGTATGTCCCCACTGGTGTTAGGGTTTAAACCAAACCCAAATTTGCAAATTAAATCTTCCTCAAAATTCTGGGACGAGGGGTATTCAATTTCATAAAAATGAAATATAATATTAAGAATCCCTAAGAATTGTCTACTTGGTGACAAGGACCACAGACACTATACTAAAGGTAGGTTAATTCTGTCTCCTCCACTGGGAGGCCAGCTCCAAGCAGACAGAAACTCTAGATCAAGACCTGGCACACAACACAGGCTCCATAAAATTGCTGAATGAATGAAAGCACCAGGTCCCAAGAGGACTGATGGCAAATTTTAAGCAATGTTCTTTCTGCATCAATCAGAAAGAATGAGTATGTAAGGTTCATAATATATTGGTTCAAGAGTTTTTTTTCAGTTACAAAAGTTATCCAGAGTTACAAGAAAATATGGATAATCAAAGAGAAAAAGTGACCAACTCTATAAGTTTTTAAGGAAATGTGTATTAACAGAATTTTAAGTTATCATTATATCTCTACTACAATATCAAAAACGTTTCTTCCCATGAAGCCTCATCCAGGCAGGAAGCAGGAAGCAGAAAGGGGGCGAAGACAGCAGGACACCCTTGGAAGTATGTCATTATTGGGGCCCACAGTGGCTCTGTCTTCCTGAACAATAACGCTGCAAGATTTAACAAGCTCTATAAATGTTTCATAGTCTTTAACTGCATGATCACTCCTCTTTATGAAATATACCTCAAGGAAACAGATGATTCCAAAGGGGGAAAAAGGAACTTATAAAATAGGTACATGGCCTAATGGTAATAACAATAATAATGAAAAACCGGAAACATTTCAAATGGCCAACAACAGGATTAAGCACACTACGGAATGCCCAGGCTGTGGACTCTACAGCCATTAGAAAGACATTATGTGGATCCCATTGACACTTTGCATATGTATATTATTTCTATAAATGTATCAGGATTTTTTAAAAAGCAGAAAATAGTAAAACCCAATTCTGACTATGTAAAAAGGGTTATACATACTCTGCAAAAGATATATAAACAGAGAGGGTTACAAAATATGATGTTTACTGGCATTCAAAGTAAATCTATTAAAATGACCTGCGTTTGTGACCTCTGAATGCTCTGGACCTGTGGAAGCAGAAAATAAGCATTTGGTAGCTGCTTTGCAGACCCTTCTGTAGAGATTCTGCGAGTGCCAATTCCAGATACCTGCAGAAAAAGAAAGAATTGTTCCTCTGAGTTTTAAAACACATTTGCCATAATCCTAAAACACCTCTCCGAAGGAAATCCGTATCCATTACCATGGCCTTCAAGAGTCTACTAATCCAGCCGGGCTTGGCGGCTCACACCTGTAATCCTAGCATTAAGTGGGACTTCAGGAGTTCATGACTAGACTGAGCAAGAGTGAAACTCTTCCTCCCTAAAAATAGAAAAAATTAGCCAGGCATAGGAGCACATGCCTGTAATCCCAGCTACTTGGGAGGCTGAGGCAGAAGGATCTCATCTTGAGTCCAGGAGTTTGAGGTTGCTGTGAGCTAGGCTGACAACAGGGCACTCCAGCCTGGGCAAATCTGTCTCAAAAAAAAAAAAGAAAAAAGACTCTACTAATCCAATTATCATGTTTATCTTCATCTACAAAAAACTTGATGACTGTTGCTGCATTTAAGTTGAATGTTTCTCATTGTTGCAAATCTTTTTTACAAGTAGACAACTCTTCTGATATGGGACCACCCGTTTAATGGAATCCAGTGAGAAGTAACTGCAGGCCGGGCGCGGTGGCTCACGCCTGTAATCCTAGCACTCTGGTAGGCCAAGGCAGGTGGATTGCTCAGAGTCAGGAGTTCGAAACCAGCCTGAGCAAGAGTGAGACCCTGTCTCTACTATAAATAGAAAGAAATTAATTGGCCAACTAATATATATAGGAAAAAATTAGCCGGGCATGGTGGCGCATGCCTGCAGTCCCAGCTACTCCGGAGGCTGAGGCAGGAGGATCACTTGAGCCCAGGAGATTGAGGTTGCTGTGAGCTAGGCTGACGCCATGGCACTCACTCTAGCCTGGGCAACAGAGTGAGACTCTGTCTCAAAAAAAAAAAAAAAAAAAAAAAGTAACTATAGAAATGATCTATCTTAGCACTTATTACTTTTTTTTGAATTTTTTAATTAATTTATTTTTCTCAGCATATTATGGAAGTACAAATGTTAAGGTTAGGTATATTGCCCTTGCCCCACCCCTCTCGAGTCAGAGCTTCAAGCGTGTCCATCCCCCAGCTGGTGCGCATCACACTCATTATGTTTGTATATACCCAAACACTTAAATTACTTGATGCCACATCCTGTTAAAGATGCCGTAAGTACCACTTAAGGTAAAGATTCCTATTTCTGTGAATGCCAATGAGACTCTTGACGCTCCCTCCTAGTATCTTGATGTGCACAACGAGCTCCCTGGGAACCGACCCCCAAGCACGCAGGCAAAATCGCCACAGGTTCTCCTGACAGCTCCCTCCCTCTCAACTGTTTATGAGATGAGAGCTGTGAGTTTTAGAAGCCTGCTATATCTTATACTAGGAAACTGTGCATGGCAGATTTCTTTGTTTTGTCCCAATACTCTTCAAAGATCCACGGTAGGGACAGAGCTCTGTAGTCTGTACTGAGGACAGCCAACTGTGGCAGGTCAGGCAGAAAATGGTAAAAGCTGATGAATTTAACATCACTAACCATCTTCTGTTTTAATGACATAAACCAGGTGGCAACATTTCCAAAAGTCTTTTATAAAATACCCAGACCCCTCTTGTGAAGTCAACAACCAGATTATGTGACAAAAGGGAGAAGTTACTCACATGATAGGAAAGGACTCCATATGAAGAGGTATTAATAAATAAAGAGCTTTCAATGCTTCCTTCTTCAGTAGGCAAGAAAATAATTCTGAAGGAAGTTTTCCCCATTGCTGGAATTACCTGAAAGACAGGTACCCAATTAGCCATGTGAAATGGCATCTTTGATAAATTGTCTTTCACAGACTTTCTTTTTGACAATTTCTATTAACAAGTATTTCCATATTCTGCACCCTTGATTTATCAGTATCATAAATCCATGAGAATACCCAAACTGATCAGCATCTAACAATCTCAGAGGATACATCAAAGAACATGCCACTAACTTAAGGGCAAGGTAGTTGCTAAGCCCTTCACTTCAGAATGGAGCTGGGAGACTCACATCTTTCCATTTCATCCTCTTCCACACCCACACAGCCAAGTGTCTTTCTCTAACATGGTTCTATCTCTCTCTCAAATACGGAGAACAACCAATGTGCAAACATGTTGACATGTAATAAAAAAATCAACATTTTCCTGGAATGTCATAGACCAAATATTGGGCTTCCCCTCACATGCCCTTAGTCCCAGTATTTTTAAAAAGTGCATAATATGAGGCAGACATAGTAAGCAAAATAAATAAAAACCTACTAGCAATTAGGCTCTTCATTAAAAGTTAAAGACCACTGAAATTAAAACTATCAGACGACTAGGGTTTTGAGCTCTGTGTTATGGTGCAAATTAGCTTTATAAAGAGCCGTTCACTACCTTGCAGGCCTACATTTAGAAAGGAGCTCTAACTTTCTTAGTAAGTTTGAGAGGTGGAAGAGCTCACAACTATAAACCTGTGTAAGTTACTAAATGCCTCAGCATTTGTAGTCATTTCAAGACAAATAATATAAACTTTCTTTAGCTCTGATAAAGCCATGTTAAATATACATATACATGACTACCTAGTTTAGACTCTTCAAACTTTTTTTCCCCAGGTAGATATCAAGAGCTACTAAAATTATAAAAATGAACAATTGGACAAGTAAATGCCAAAGCGAACACACAGAAGGAAAAGGTTTGGGTAGCAGAGAAAGGGGAGACAGGGAGCAGAATGTAAAAACTGCAGGCCAAAGAAAGCAAGAAAACCTGGCAGGCTGCCCTAGCATAGTTTCCAGGAGTACATCAACACTCACCCTGCAAGGAACGGGAGGCACATGGAAGTGTCCAGCAGCTGTAAACACCGAATTCACCACGACCTCGCTGTCCCTGCTGGGGTTGTAAGCATAGAGAATCTTTGCTGCAGGATGTCCCAAGAACCTAGGAGGGGAAACAGAGAGAAATCAACATATTGTGAAGGTTATAAATATTACTAATAATACACACCTATTTTTAAACCCAGAAGGCTGCTGATGTTCATCACAAGGTTAAAAACAACAATTATTCAATCCTGCTGGTAATAAAACATTCCATCTACAGCAGTCAAAAACCATAAAACAAAACACTTTCTTTTATAAGACGTATGCCAACCCACAGGAGCACCCCATTGGTTTCTGTGTTAGAAGAATTCAACACACCTAGACCATTAAATGCTTGCAAAAAAGAGTACATAATGGCACTTAACTGGCACTTCTCTGACTTGGGTCTCTAATTCAAATGAAAATATGTTTAGATAAGAAACTGTAGTCATAGAAAACCCCACATTTTGTTAAGGTTTGTTTTCTGAGTAAATTTGGGGGGGGGGATTATATTTCCAACTGGCAGCAAGACTTTATTTTATTAGGTCTTATGAAAGGAAAACGTAATTGTTGCTAAAGGCTGTTCTCCTGAGAGAAATAAAAACCCTGTGGCACTTTGCGGCTGTGGTTCTCATCCATTTAAATTACGAGCCTTTCAGAAACCTCCGATGAAAGCTCTGGCTCCTCCCTCCACCAACCTACACTTACAGAAAGTTTTCTACGTAATTTCAAAACCTTCCACAAACCTCACAGTGAGACTCGCTGCTCTATGGCAAACACACTAAATCGCGAAGGACTTCATGCCAGTTCTTTCTGGCAGCGCTCTTCACCTGCAAGGACGGACGGCTCTGACAAAGGAACTGCCGGAGGAAAGGAGAAGGGGGTCTCTGGCCCACCTACGAAGTTCCCTCTAATCACTTAACTCTGGCTCCTACTGCCCAATACCAAATCCAGGCTCCATTATATTGCAATGAATAGGGAAGCAGCAAAAATGTCACTGAAGCCATTTCTCCAGTGGACCCAAATACACAGTTGCCATCAGTATGGACTAGAAATAAAACTATATATTCTAATTTAAGCAAACAAATAAACAAAACTCATTCATTATGTTTGTATTTCTCTGATTTTATTCCAATTCCTCAGGTACTAAAAATGTGTGCTTTAGGAGAAATGAAATGCATGTTGTTTCTCTTATGTACAATGGGATTTCCAAAATACTGTTTACTACCATCAAATCCTTGGAATTTTTCTTTTCGCTTTCACTCCTGTTTTTAATCACTAGTCTTAAAAGTTTAAAACATCCAAATGTACATTTGAAAGCATAAGTTCTTTACATCCAGCTACAAATGAAATGCATATTGATGCGATATTATAAATCAAAACCTTGATTTTTCTTTAATGTTCTTAAATAAAACAATTTAAAAAAAAAACAAAAGTTTTTTACACCACCAGACACACATAAAGGGCTACCTCAGTAAGCCCTATCTCAGAGTACTTAGGTCTTATTTGCCTTTCTTCCCACAATTAAATTAAATAAATAAATACTTCTGTGGTTTTAAGGTTTTAAAGTAAATAATAATGAATCAATCATCAAAGTTATTAATACCTATCCTGAAGCTTTATATCCCCCATTCACACAACTGAAACACAAGATTTCTGGTTTCAAAGGACACAAACGTCTACCAGAAAAATGCATCAGAAAACAAGACTGCAAGACTGCCATGCGGCAAAGCTGGTGGCTGCAGTCACCGGAAACCTGACCAGCCCTCACGGAGAATGCTAGCTAAAACCTAGCGACCACTGTGCTATTTTTGTTCTATTTTTTTTTTCAATTCTATTTTTAAAAGTGTTATGAGGATATGAATTTCCTTCACTAGTGACAACTGGAAGATACTCTTTTAATTTAATACCACAAAAGAATGATTAAAATCTCTTATGAATGAGTGGCACTTTTCATCTCAGGACCAACAGAATATTAACTCTTAAAATAAGCCCTAAGAAATAAGCAGAACGCAATAGAATAACTGGATCCTGATTTCGCATCCTAGAAGGAAATCAAACCTACAGAAAGGGATGGAATTTGCTCCAGGTCAACATCAAAACAACAATAGCAAAACCTGAACTAGGGCAGTGAGGAAATCAGAACTCTCTGGCTGAAGTTTTACTCTAATGCTTATAACTTACACCATTTGTTAGAAGATAAAACTTGACTCATTTAAAATGTGTTATAATTTAGACTAAAGGTTGTTCTTATTGAGATTTTTTTTTTAACTTCAGCAAAATAACTTATTCCCATTATTATATCCTGGCTCTCACTAACAAGAAAAACAGCAGAGTGAATGCTGGCTTAGGAATCAGATTTATTCTACCACTCCTCGTGAAATAACCTTGGGCAAAGGACATTACTTCTCAGCAACAAATGCGTGAACACATCTGTAGGCAGTACATGCTCAAATACGGAGATATCTGGAAACGATACACAACACACTCAGATAATGCCTGCCTGCAGGATCCTTACAGGAATGATGTAAAACTCAAAGGACAGAGCCATGATTATGCTTTGAGAACTATAAAGTACTATATAAGCATAAATGAACCATCCAAAAGTGCCTCAAATCTAATAACTAGTAATCCTTTCAAATCAAAGACTTGAAACATTCTTTCTACATGTCTAGCGATCAGGACCAGCAATTAATGTAAATCACTAATTAACATATGTAGCTAATATACAGTTGGCACTCTATATCCACAGATTTTACATCAGCGGATTCAAGTAACCTCCATCGAAAATATTAAGAAAAAAATAAATAAAAAATAAGAATATAACAAAAATATAAACAAACAATACAGTATAACAACTATGTAGTATATGCATTGCACTGGGTTGTATTAGTAATTTAGAGATGATCTAAAGGATAAGGTAGGAGGAGGAAGGATTTGTATAGGTCATATGAAAATACTACACTGAGGGACTTGAGCATTCCCACACTTTGGTATCTGCAGGAATCCTAGAACCAATCCCCCATGGAAACTGAGGAATGACTTTATATACATATCCATGTGCACTGATTATAGGATTTTTTTATGTTACTTAAGAGCAAAATACACATATTAGACAGCCAGGAGCCTACGAAATGTGATTATTGCCCCAATCTAGCCATACTGACTACTATCCATCTTATATCTACCAGTCTATCATTATTCATATTCTTTAAACTAGGTCCTGCGTTAAAATTTCTTCTTACAATAAAGATTTTTCACAGAGGCAAAGTATTCTCTCAGAATTTGAAATCAGTGAGATTATGACAAATTCAGCTGATTTATGTTACCAGCTAAATTATCATAAATTCAGCTTCTAGTAGTTTCTTTATCTAAGAGTAAAAATATAAAAATTCAAAAGAAGCAGACACCTAGAAGCTTATTAAGTCAGTGAACTCCCTTCACAGTTTTTTTTTTTCTTCTTCCTTGCATAAAATTTCCTTTAAAAGGCTCACTAAGGTACTTTTAAACTCTAGGTTCATTCTCCTTCACTGCAGGACGTGGAAAGTGATCCAGAGGAGTCAGGGAGGGCATGCCAGGAGGCCACCGCAAACCCGCCCCAGACGCTCTCCAATGACCATTCTCAAAACTTTGCTTCTAACTCAAAAAGCTCTTCGTAAAACTGAAGTGATGTACTCAGGCCATTGAACAAGCAGAGCTTTTACTCTTCAAACACTCGGTTACTCTCACCGTTGAAATTACTAATTTGAAGTTATAACTTTCCAATGTTGTTATACCTGGCATCCGGGGCGCTTAACACTTTAAGTTCCAAACTTTATCACGCATAACAAGAGTCCTTCCATTGCCTCCTCTCCATAGCTTGACCCTTCCCCTTAAACTTTTCGAGGTTCCCAGAGTAGGCCCTCGAGCAACACTCAGATCACAATCCCTTCATTTCACAGTTCTTAATGTTACATACTGTAAATCAGTTCCACTTACACAATGTCTTCCCCGCTTAACTTGATGTTCCAAAGTCTCTATCGTCATAATCATAAATACAGTGCAGTTTTGAATACAGAAGGCACAGCAAGAAGCAAAAATAAGTAAATGAGTCTAGCTTAAAAGAATTCAGAAACCATCAATATTTAGAGATTTTTCGTTATGAAATAACCTAGTTTCAGAAAAACAAAGACTTAACATTGACTTATTAAATCCCAATCACTAAAAAAGATTAAAAGATATATTTATTAAAAACTAAAGAAAGGTTACTTGATATCTTGTGATATAGGGAGGAAGAAAAAAAAATCTAAAGAAAGGAGCTGGGCACAGTGGCTCATGTAAATAATCCTAGCACTTTGCAAGGCAGAGGATCACATGAGACCAGGAGCTCGAGACCAACCTGGACAACATGGCAAGACTCCATCTTTCAAAAAAATTGTTTTTAAAAAATTAGCTGGGAGTGGTTACACACACTTTTAGTCTCAGCTATTTAGAACGCTAAGGTGAGAGGATTACACGAGCCAGGAGTTAGAGATTACAGTGAGCTGTGATCATGCCACTGTTCTCCAGCCTGGGCAACAGAGTAAGATCCCATCTCTAAAAAAAAATAAAAACAAAAACAAACAAGCAAACAAAAAACCTAAAGAAAAGGGTAAAACAACTCTTATTCCTTTACATAAAAATATTCCTTTAAACAAGTCCAGGATCAATGTCCCTTCATATTATTAATATGTTTAAAATGTACCATTATTCATACATATATATAAGATATCCTGAAAGTAAATAATACAAATAAAATGAGTTATTGTTTTTAATTATAAAGGAAAGACACTTACTGTATTCCAAAATCTAGAACTGATGGCTGAAAATGTAAGCCTCTTCCACTAAACAGTTTGTCTGAGAAGCTAAAAAAAGGAAGAGAAGAGAAAGATTAATTTTTGTTATAGTGTTAAAATTTGGATACTGAATTAAAACAATGTATTATACTTAGACCAATGACTCTCAATGCATGAGATATAAATTTTACTCTCTTACAGATGAATCTGTACTAGATTTTATTTATTTATTTATTTTTTACCAGTTGAATATATAGTACTTTTTTTTTATTTCGGCATATTATGGGGGTACAAATTTTAAGGTTTCAAAAAATGCCCTTTCCTCCCCTCCCCCCACAAGTCTGAGTTTCCAGCGTGACCATGTACTAGATTTTAAATGATAAAACTGAATTATCAGAAGTCTAATATTATTTTAGACTTGTTAAATTTAAGAAACCCTTAGATTACAGTTAGCATAATGCCATATCAAATGTACAGATCTTATAAGCATTCAGACAAAAATGGGGATAGACTTAATTTTTAATAGGCTTCGTTTCTGGATGAATTAAGATAACATGGCTGTTTTCATAAACCCTAAGTCAAGAAAAGACAGTACACGTAAAGTTGGTTGGAAGGGAGAAGACTCTTGGCCTCTAAATTTGTTAGATCACTTGTAACAGTGAAAGGGCACTGTAGGATAGACACCATCATCGTCAGTATTTTTAAGAACAACAATCACATAATATGACACATGGCAGGTCGGGTCACATTTTCAACAGTTGTTAATCATTATTATGAGTTCATCTACCTTCAGAATCAAAAGCCACAAATCAATATAGCAGAAAAACATACAAAGAAAACATGTCAAAGTAAAAACATAATAAAGATATAACAAAAAATAAAAATGTTACTTAAGAACATAAAATACTTCATATATATACACACATACATGAATATCAAAAACTATCAACTTCCATGCGACACTTCAAAAGCCACATAATCCAAAAATGTATAACTAGAGAAGCTCCCAAAGGTAACATACATAACTGTTTTCAAAGACTGGAACGAGCTTTCCAAAAATAGAATCTTCCCATTTTCTCCTCCCACTCAGCAGCCCTCGAACAAGCTGGTTTCCAGGCTGGTCCAGGCATGGACACTTGAGTTTTAAACCTGCTGACCGATAAGAAGCTTTACAACCTCCAGCAAGTTCCTCTCCAAGGTCCCATTTTTCTTATCTCGTAGAAGTCTAGCTGCCATTCTTTCTTCCTGCCTACACTTTCTGCCTTTATCTAAGCTTCCCTTCCTCTAACCTCTCTCCTAAAAGTCCTTCCATTACTGTCTATCTGTATCTCCTTTATTCTATCTCCAATATCAACTGTATTAATAATAAAGGTGACTCCTCAGTCTCCACCTGCCTAACCCTTGTCAGTCTCTCCATTTGGTTTGAGTACGGGCAGAGAAAACATACGTTATTTACTGGGCTCCCTGAAACCTCAAAGGCCAGCACTAATTCCATGACTTGCTTGCAAAGAAGGCCACTAGCATACATAGTTGCCTCCAGAAATGATCTCAAGAGACACAGGAGGCAACAGAGGTGAAGAGGTACACCAGGGGTACCCACTCCAGATGGGCTGGCCAGGGCTCAGCACTCCAGGAAAAGGAAACAGGCAACTTCACATACCAAAAACTATCTTTAGAAAAGTCAGGCTGCTGGATGCGTAATGAGTAAAATAATTAATGACAGTCTTCTTTCTGTCTTGTGCACTGAAAAGTGAATTTGCCATCAGATTTTACACGCAACCTCCAAATGAACAGACGAGGTTTGGAGGATTTAAGCGATTCACCCAAGGTCACATAGCTACTAAGAGGCAGAGCCCAAATTCCAATACTGATCTGTTGAGTTCAGGAACACCAGCCATGTGTCTGTCGAGTCATCGCTTGATCTATTCAAGGAACCGACATGATCTAGCCTGCTGGTGAGGGTTTGGGCTGCAGAGGCCAGACAAACCTGGACTCCAGACCCAAGGCCATCATTCTCTAGTCCTGAGTGGGTCGGCCACTTAACTTCTCTGAAGTCCCGGCTTTATTATCCATAAAAGGGAGATGACTGAGGATAAAATGAGATAATGATGCCTCTCCTTCATGTCTGGCACATGGTTAAGTGCAATAAACATTAGCTCATATTACTAAGAGGATGGCATTCATCTAACAAGAGCAAAGAGAACAGATGGAGAAGCCAGTTGAGTTTAAAGTCAAAGTTGACCTCTGGAATTAAAAGTCCCGAATGAGATAGCAGTAATTACCTCTGAATAGAACAAATGAAATATAAACCTGGGCTTGTCTCATATCCTCATAAGAGATTTTTAAATCCCACAATCAGAAAGTTTAACACACCCAATAAATATAAGACATTTAGGGCCCAACCTAACGTAATATAGTACAAATAGGCAGAATGTCTTTAACTTCAAAGAAAACTCTATTTTTGATCCCAAATGGAGAAATAAAACTATGCTATTTTTTTCTAAAAGTCATAAAATAGATTCTCTTTTCCCATTGGTTGATTTCAACTAACTTGACTTTACAATTTGGAAAACACTATATCAAGTTATAAGGAGGTTTAACATCACTATATAAAAGTTCTTACAGGTTAAAAAAAAAAAAAAAAACTATTTTAGACATAGGTTATTGATCTAGAGCATACTCACACACATACATGTCCTTAAATATTTGTTAAATATTTGTTAAAAAGACTGGGGGAGGCCGGGCGAGGTGGCTCACGCCTGTAATCCTAGCACTCTGGGAGGCCGAGGCGGGCGGATTGCTCAAGGTCAGGAGTTCAAAACCAGCCTGAGCGAGACCCCATCTCTACTAAAAATATAAAAAGAAATTAATTGACCAAGTAAAAATAAATATACAAAAAAAAAAATTAGCCAGGCATGGTGGCGCATGCCTATAGTCCCAGCTACTCGGGAGGCTAAGGCAGTAGGATCACTTGAGCTCAGGAGTTTGAGGTTGCTGTGAGCGAGGCTGATGCCACGGCACTCACTCTAGCCCAGGCAGCAAAGTGAGACTCTGTCTAAAAAAAAAAAGAAAAGACTGGGGGGACAATAGAGGTGGCAACAAATGACCAAAATTTAGTCCACTATGACCTCAACAATTATCCCCAAATATCAGTGCTAGCTAAGAAATAATATTGTATTTGAAATGCCAAAGTTTTCATTTCTAAACTGATACTGTGTTTCCCTGAAAATAAGACAGGGTCTTATATTTATTTTTCCTCAAGAAGACACCCTAGGGCTTATTTTATGGAATATGGGAATATGTTATTTTCCCCTCAAAGCCTCAGCTTGCAGCACGCACAGGATGGCTGGGACCTGACAGGGGGAGCCAACCTCGTTGGTGGGGCTGCCCACACCTTTCCAGTAACCTCTGGGATAGTAGCTGTCACAATGGGGCAGATGAGAAGGGCTGCTCGTAGTCTTCTTTACCGCTCCTTGATGAAATGCATGGGTTGTGCAGATGTGCTGTGTAGCCACGCCCATCACTAGGTCTTATTTTCAGGGTAGGACTTTTTTATTTTTTTTTTTTTTTGAGACAGAGTCTCTTTGTTGCCCAGGCTAGAGTGCCATGGTGTCAGGCTAGCTCACAGCAACATCAATCTCATGGGCTCAGTGATCCTCCTGCCTTGGCCTCCCGAGTAGCTGGGACTACAGGCATGCACCACCATGCCCAGCCACCACACCCGGCCCAGGGTAGGGCTTATATTGCGCAAATGCTTAGAAATCCTGCTAGAGCTTATTTTATGGGTAGGTCTTATTTTGAGGGAAACACGGTACCATCAAAGCAATAACTTAGTCTCAAGAACCACAGTGATACAGGACAAAACTTCTTCCCTTTTCCCCTTTCTCTCAAAAGTCAGCATTTCACATTTCACCCTTTCACGTTCAACCTTAATGATACAAATGATGCATTTATGTCAAAGTCTACCTGGCTTCGTTCCCTCTTAGGAGTCCTTAATTTAAAAAGAAAAATAAAAGAGGGGCATCTGCTTCTACGGCAGGAGACAGGGCTAGGGATAAGAAACACGGGCAAGAGTAATGTGGAGTGAGTGAGCTCTTGTTTATATAGACCTTCTCTACACACTCTTATTTAAAGACCTTCTGTGAAGAGCTGGGTGGACACGTGGACAAGAATTTTTACACGTTATTCTGAAAAAACATTTCTCTTTGCCTAACATTACCTGGTTTTTTTATCTTTCTCTTTTTTAAAAACTTTGGCCACATTTTTTTCTATATACATAAAACAAAGAAACTGCTGGAAAAGGTTTTGGCTAGCACTTTTCAAAAGAAATTTCACTGGAAATGAGAAGACCCTGAGTCAGGTCCCAGCTGTGCTGTGAGCTCCCATGTTGGCACAGGGCTTCAGTTTTCTTCTTCGGCAAAATGAGCAAGTCACACTGCGTGACTCCAAGATCCTTCGAAAAGCAAGTGGATGCCCAGATTCCTTATTCCTAGGAAAATGAAATCTAACTGGTAACAGACACACCCTTAAAAAAAAAAATCAGTCCAGTAACTTAGATTGTGGAAATAAATTAACTGTGATCAACTACGCCTGCTGTTCACACACGTTATCTGATCATTTCAAAGGCAATGCAGGCTCGTAGGCCAACAAGCAAAGCTCAACGATCAAGAGAATGCAAGGAGTTAGGGACAGGCAGGGCCACTTGCCTGGGCTTAGTTGTAGGGGAAGAAGTGGCCAGTTTAGAAAATTAAAAAAGAAAAAAAAAAAGATCAAGGGAGTTCAAGGAGAGAAGGGAAACCCAGCAAAGGCTTCGGAGTGCAGGGCTATCCAAGTGGGCCTCAACCAACACCTACCAGGGACGGACAATGAACAGAGGCCACGTCCATCCAGCAAGGCTACGGGCATGAGCAAAGACGGGAAGGCTGAGAAAGCACGGGCCACGCTGGAGAACACTATTTGAGCAAGGACAGAAAGCACGAGCTAGCTGGCCTGCAACTCTGCGTGCAGGAGTGCAGGGGGGAGGCCCGGGGCAGAGGCAGCCTGAGCCAACCGCAGCCACAGGGAAAAAA